GTGCGAAGCAAATATTAGTGTTCCTGGAGCCCCAAGAGTAAAGTCACTGTCTGGTCACCAACAGGCATTTCTTCTCACCTTTATACCCAGTCTTGCATCGTAAACTAGGGACAGTTAACACGTTCTTCTAATTATAAGAAGCATTACTTGTTTACTAGAAGAAAGTTAGAAAATATCGATGAGTAAAATTAAAACATAGCAGCCCAGAGAGATGGCTCAGCATTTAAGAGCACCATCTGTTCCTCCAGAGGACCCTGGCTCGGTGCTGCCACTCATAACTCATAACTGTCTATGACTATAGTTCCAGGTCATCTGACACCTCTAGTCTCCATGGGAAGCAGGCACATGCATGTGGGTGCACAGGACACCACACACATAAACTGTAAATAAGTAAAACATAAAACAATAATATACAGACCTTTTCTGTCCCACAGTCTAACTGGCACAGACCAAAGAGAATTATTAGAGGTCAACCATTTCTCATTCCTATTCTGTTATTCATCTCTGCAAACTGAAGCTATTTCTGTCAAGGACCTTACATCTTCTATGTCTACATCGTTATGCTAGGTGGAACCTCTGTCTTCACAAAACTTGTATAAAATGGTTTTATGCTGCAGCAGGTCTTACACCTAAGAACACATTACATTACAGGGGACCCGGGGGAGGTAGCTAAGTCAGCAAAGTGCACATGTGTGAGGACCTGAATATAGATGCCCAGCACCCACGTTAAAATCTGGAGCAGCAGGACACCAGTTACCCCAGCTTTGGGAGGGTGTGGCGCTTTGAAGATCCTTGCTACTCACTGGTCAGCCAGCCTAGGCATTCTGTGGGCTCCAGGTTCTCTCCAGTGAGAGACCTTGTTGCAAAAATATAAGGTAGAGAATGCACACACACACAAACACACACGTGTGCACACACAAACACATACACAAACACACACATGCATGCACGTGCACACACGCATGCCCCAAAGGATGCATCAGAAATCTGTTAGTAAATAAAAACCAATGTATCCGCTGTATCATTTTTATCAGCTGCGTCCAGTTGTGTGCACAGATGTATTTTGTCCTCTCAGCCGCCTCCTCCTCCTCTATTGACATGTATGTACTTTGTCATGTTTTCCCCATGTAAATGATGTACCACGGAGAACATGTTCACACATGCTTGTCTTTGACAGGCATTTCATACTGTCGTATTTCTGAGCTTTTGGTTATTGTTGACCTTCAAACCTAGCTACTAATATCCCTCAAGTTAATGCCACGGGTTCCTTGGTTCAGTTCGCAGTTCCATAATGGCTAGAGCAACGTCAAATTCCCAGACACACAGAGACAGGGGAAACGGCCACATTACTTAGTATTGGCTCCTCACTCCACCTCTCACCCCAACACACCCCATCCACAATTATCCCTACTTGGTTTCCACAGGACTGTGCCCCGGCCTGCAAACTCCAGCTCCTACTGTGTTGTCTGTAAGGAACGTTGCTAGTACATTTCCTGAAATCTTGATGTAGCCTTCCCCCCTCCCCCCACCATACACACACACACATAGACAACTCCTACTTCATTCTTCATCTCCGTGCTGCAGCCATTTTCCCGGCAGTGTGCAGGCCCTCGTGGGCTGGCACACGAGAAGCGTTTGGGTGAGAGGAACCATCTTGACTGAATACAAACTGAGGGCGTAGACTTGGAGAGTTTACCTATAAATAAGTATCCTGGCACGTGAATTACACACATTCTGACTTTATTCGCTACTCTCTTTACTTCTAGAACAAAGGCCAGCAAAGGTGAGCTCTAAAAACCAGATGTTAAATACTGTGCCGTCGCTGTTCAACTCAGCCTTGTCATGAAGGTAGTTGCGGGCAGGAACTATGCTTGTGTTCTGATAGGAATTGATTTGTGGATCATGGATTGCCAGACCCTTTCCTAAAACTGGTGTGGCTTCACTCACACAAGTTACATTCGGAGTCTAGTCCCATGCCCTTTTCCACAAAAATACATGACCCGTGTCTCTTCTGAGGTAGACATAGACATCTAGTCTACCTCATGAGCACAGAAACAGTGGCCACGGATTCTGCCCGGCATGGAGGAGGCCACACACCTGGAGCAGAGTTGGATAGAGGACAGTGCTGGGGTAGTGGCAGGTGTCACCTCCCTTAGGGAGCTGCAGGAGGGTGCGTGTCCAACACTTGCTGCCACCACAGCAATCCCATTCACTGAAGCTCCTGGAGGTCAGTTGCAGTACCTAGAGCTGTGACTATATACAAGATCTATAGCCCAGGCTTTGGGAAGAGCTGTTGGTGATGTAGTAGTAGACACAATATCCTTTCACTAAACCAGAACCTATCAGTTGCATGCCACTGGCCTTGTCAATGCCAGCATTTCCACTAGCTGTCCACAGCAGGTCCTTCCTCTAGCAAACACAACAATGTCTTCCCTATGATCTAAGAGGCCGAGGTCCAACTGGAACGCTTCAAGGGAACCTTCTGCTGTTGGGCTCCCTGTGTGGGGCTTCGGTCGGACAGAGTCAGGAGGGCAATCCAGTGAATACTGGACGCCCCAAGTTTATTCTTCAGCATTCTTAAATATCCCATCCAAAAAGGGGGATGTGGCAAAGGACTTCTTTATCACATACAAGCAACAAACAGACTTTTCTTTATTAATTCTCCAAGATTTCTTCTCTAATTCTCCAAACACTTGGTAACCACACCTTAGACTAAATTTCTCCTTATCTGGCCTTGAGGGTCAAGAGTAACCACACCTCAGACCAAGCCTGTTACTATTTAGATAAGACATCCACAACCAAGATCCTTCAGTAGCCATGCCTTAGTTCTTTAGGGCTTATGACTTAAACCTTGGGAGGCCAAGGACAGTTTTGAACTCTCTGACCTTAAGTCAAGATGAAGAGGAGCCACCCCCGACAGCTCTCCCTTCCCTACCTCTGCTAACCTAACCCTCCATGGACAGCATAGGCACTTTAGCCTAAGTAGTTGAAATGCCTACTCTGGTCCCCACCACCACCACCAAGGCCTCTGGTGTCTGTAAAGGAAGAGTAGGCATTGTGTCTCTTGAGGATCTGTGGTACAGAGGAAAGCCTACATTTACTGCCCAAAGACTTAACTTTGTGTCGTAGCTGCACCCTTTGTGTCTAAGAAGGAGCAAGTGACCAGTCTTTTTGAGCCTTGGTTTCCATAGTTATAAATTTTGAAAGTTGTTGTGAGACTAGAATAAAGCTAAGTGAAGGGAGAGCCTAGAGGCCCTTAAACATCTAGACTTCTCAGTGTCTAAACTGCTCACAGGGTTTAGCTTGGGTATCTCCTTAGCGATGTAACCATTTGGAAGTGGGACTCGTGGAGATATATCCTTGATTAATTATAATGACTCCATTTTTTCAAATGCTGCCGAATATAATTGATATTTTAAAATAGTTTTCTAAAATCTCATCAACATCAAGTAAGGCAGACAAGCTTCTATTTCTTTTAAAATTTTGTATCATAGATCTAAAATTTCACCAGCATAGACTGCAGAGGGATGTTGTCAGAGGCTTTTAAATCAACCCTCAATGCCACCAAATTAATAAAATCAAGGGGGAAGTCCCCTAAGATACCCAAAAAACGGGTGAGCAGAGTTGAAGTTGTTCCTTTACCCCTTCTTTAGAAAATGACTACCGTGTGACATGGAGCACAGGGGTAGCTGTAACCCAGCATTGCACATTGACCATTGGAAACTCACTGCTTAAGTTTAAATTCTCTCTCTATGGTTCACACTCTCTCCTAGAAAAAGGTAAACGAATCCTGGAGGTACATAGAGATACATAGGGAAACCTATAGAAGGTCAAATGCGTGGAATTGTTAAAACACTCCACAGATCTGTGAAGATGGGTAATTCACAGCAGCCCTTTAAAACCCCGTCATTGAACTAATTGCACAGACCAACCCAGTTAGGTTGTCATGGATTGGACACTGGAACTCAAGTGTGTTGAAGATTCACCCTGTAACACAGAGCTAGGAACTGAAGGTATAAAGCCAAGCATTCCTGCACCTAGTTCCTGCTCCCTGCCCTGCACCACAGGCAATTCATAACCTACTGGACAGTGTGCCGGAGTAGAATGTCAAAGGTGGCGGTCTCAGTTCAAACCTTTCCCTTGTCCTTTTGATAGAAACACAACTAAGACACACCTGTCTAAAGAGCAGAATGTACTTCTGCATGACACAAACTACAGATGAAAATGCCAGTGTTTGTGTAAGCAATTCAGATTTCTAGGTAGAGTTTTGATAGCCAAGTTAGTTTCTTCACCTGTTCTACCAACCTGTCAGTGAGGATAAGATGAAAACCATTCACTGCAATCAGAAAATACACGTGCAAGCCGAATTATTGTGTTTATTAAAGCCATAAATATATGCAGATAAATTAATTATCTCAAGTTCTGCCTACCTAAAAATTAATTAGCAGGTAATTAGCAACCCTGGAGAAGTTTCATTTCAAAAACTTCAGTCTTTGTTATGAAGCTGGAATCTCGATTTTTAATGAAGTACCATGATGAAAGAGTTACAGAATTAGCCCTCACTGTATTCTGCAACACTGCAAAAGTTAATTAATTCTCTGACATTCAGCAATGCAGCTAAATTACTTCATATACTTGTTTGAGCTCACTGTCTGTAATCTTCTGACTGAAATAATAAGTGCTAAAGTTGGGGATGGTGCATATTATTTACCCATCTACAACCCTGTTACCCACTGCCCCAGATAGGTCATCCTTGGAGCCTGAAGAGATTGTTCTCTGGGACAAATGGAGGGAAAGGTTTTTAAGGTTCAGTTTCCAAAGTCAGAGCTTCTGAACAGAAGTTTTCTTTAAACCTTAAACTGAAGAAACGGCCCAGTGAGACCGTGCAGGGAATCAGCTGCCACGCCCTCTATGCTGTCTGTTTAAATGTGTGTTGCTATCGTGACTTATTCTTACATCACAGGAAAATGAATCCAGATTTTATTTCTGTTCCTTGCCAGACTTGTACAGCAGGCAAAGTGTTTGAAAATAGTCAAAGGAAAGGAAGACATTGGCTTGGATAATCTCTATAGAGGTAAAAACCAAAACAAAATAACCAACACTAGCAAAAGCACGAACTGGCTTTTGCTTTTTGTTGTGGAGTTTGTCTTATCTGTCTGTCTGGCTTCCTTCATTGTTCTGGTAGGGAGTGTTGCCAAGGACCTGAGCAGAAGTCGAGAGACTCTTAGATTCGTGGTGTGCTACTCACTTCTAAGCCCATCTTAGTTTCCTCATTTTCAGTTGTGTCAGGAAATTCCTTGTGTCAGGAAAGATCCAGTCTGTGGAAGTCAGTGTCTCTGGTGTGCTTCTACAGGGGACATTTAATGCAGCCGGGAAAGTCACTGTGGTTGACAAATTAGATGGTGGAAAAATGAGTGTTATTTGTAGATCAGATGGAAAATTACCAGGAAGAAAGCAGACATCAGAGATGAGGAGTTTGTTGGGTCTTGAAAGGGAAAGGTTTAGGTGTTCTGGTCCAGTGACTGCTGAGCAGACAGGAAGCGAGGCCACTACGATTAGCTGCATTGTCTTGGCACTGTCATTTAGATCCGGTCAGGGGAAAGCACTGATCATTTGCAACTAGGATGCTACGTCTTCAGCTACCGTGGTCCTTAAATTCTTAACTCCCAAAACATGTGACATCTGTTTAAGACAAGTGGACAGCACAGAAGCTCATCTCCACGGCAGTCTCCTGATGGAGTTCTCTTAAGACCGGGTGGTCAGTGAACGGGAGGGCTGTGATGGCCAAAGTGAAGCGGCTCTGTTTTGGATGGGCCAAAGCTCAGCCTTGGGTTGGAAGAACTGTGAATTTCCATCTCAGCCACAAAGAGATGGGGTCTTTTGGGGAGAAAATGGGGGCAATTAAGGTACTTGGCTTTCGTTGTACATTTACACGTGTCTCAGAAGAATTTCTGTATAATATAACCAGAGCTAAGCCTTGCTTTAAATAAGTAATGCATATTTTAGAAACGGCTGCAAATGTTCTCATCCATTTCACCAAGCCCTTCTTCATTCTGTAAGCAGCATGTTTTGGAACCACATATGAAACCTTTAAAAAAAAAAAAAAGTGTTGGTGTTTTAATTCATATTTTGACACTTTTGAAAATTTCTGCAGAGAGTAATTATGTACATGTTCCTGTTAAAACAGATACACAGTCTTGTGCCTCACATAGGAAGAGTGGTAATGAGGATCACCCTGACCAAAATAGAAAGTATCTCTAGCAAAAGGCATTTGCATAATGAGAAAAAAAAAAAAACGAGTCTCTTCCAGCTCGCCCTGTGTGCGCTTGCTCTTTTCTGTACCCTTTGTGAGAGGTTTAAACCCGTACGTTTGCATCTCCCCCCTGTGTTTGCTGAACCCCCTAACCATTTCTACTTCCTCTCAGGGGAGGTCTGTAAATGACAGACAGGGCAGTGACATCACAGGATGAGCGGGGAGCTCCTGCCTTGTGCAGAGCACATGACAGTCTCCAGGCTTTGGGGAAATTCATCCAGGGGTCTGATGTGCTGCAGGAAAATGTACCACGCACCAGCTGTGTACATGGCACCTGGTTTTGTGCCTAACGTATCGCTCAGGTTGCAATTCCTGTATCCAGCCAGTCTTCATTATTGTAATTAAGTTCATTTGCTCTGTTTCTAACACGTATGAGACCGAATGGCAAAACTAGACATCCCTCCTATGAGATTACATAATTGCCTAATACCCTTTCATCTCGAAGCCTATAATGTGAGTTTCATTTGCAATTCTTCATCTCTTTCTCCCATTTTTCTTTCCCATTTTGATGTATAGATTTGAATCGGTGCCTTCATTTTGGTTTTCGTTTGTTTTGTGTTTAAGGAAAATGAACTGAAATGTGTTCTCATTTGTTCTGTGAACAGAAATTGTAAACACTGAATTTTTTCCCCCTAGGCTGTGTGCAGCATGTTGACACAGCTTCTGATTTTCATGTCGCAGATGAGTTTTCAAATTTCACTAGTGACCATCTTTATTTTCCAAAGCGTTTTATTTACAATAAATATGATGGCTGTCATATATACTTATGGTTCTATAAATATGAAGACTGTCATATATACTTATGGCTCTTTTCAAAGCTCCTGTTTTCTGGCCCAGTATAGTTTTTAGAGATTTGTGTAATTTGCAACATCTTTCCAAGAAGAATATTTAGAAATGAAATTGGCAGAAATCACTGTCTAGTAATACATGTTTGTTGAAGGAAGCACAGTCATTTTACAAGGATATCTGCTTATAAAATAGATGGGAAGTAAGGGAAAGTCTGTAACACAAATAATAAAAATCCAGAGATTGATATTGTGGTTCAAGCTGAAGATCAGAGACGCAAAGCAGCCAAGCCAGTAACTCTTACCTCTGCCAAGGGCCTGGGGGATGCTGACCTCACTGTGCCTGGAGACTAATTCTCAAAATACAACATGAGACACTGGGCTCCTGTCTTTCATATACTTCTTTAGTGCTGGGATTAAAGGTGTGAGCTCTGTTACGCTTTTAGACTGATTCATTCTAATGTAGCCCTGGGTGGCCTTGAACTCTCAGAGATCCATCTGCCTCTGTGTCCTGAGTCCTGGGATTAAAGGTGTGTGCCACCACTGCCCAGCTTCTATGTCGGTGGCCGGCTTTGCCTTCTGATCTTCTGTGGCTTTATTAGATCATAAATGATATGTTACCACACAAGTATGTACCAAGGGCTACACCAAAAGCTTGGCAGGAGACAGTGTCCTTTGCACCATCTGTGAGTGGAGGCACTGGTGGGCATGGGACATTGTGGTCATAACCTGTCCCTTCTCTGCGATGGACTTGGGTATCAGATAACCAGTGAATGTTACATAGAGGACAGAAGACAGGCCTTTAGTATAAGTTGAGCAGAGCTATTGCAGTGAACAGCTCAGGTATGTCCTGATATCTCAGAGGGAGAGATCTAGGGTGTGGCCTCTTGATACCTCAGACCTGTCAGGGCTACATTGTAGCATGCTTGGGAACCCTTTAGAAACTTTGTAAATTTTAGCTAGTAAGTTGTTTCCTTGTATATGTCTACCACTTGTATCTGGATCATTTGTAATTAGAAAATAACTAGTTCTCATTTTGTTGATCCAGTACTTTTATAATCCCTGAATTGAAACAGAAATGTGGATGATACATCACCCATAAGTTATTTTCCAGTAAGAAAATACAAGGGTCTATATGACTGGCACAGAACTACATGTGGTAGTCTACAGCCAGCATTGTTTCCCCCTTTAATAGACCATGTCCATTTTTCTAAGTCAGTAAGAAAAGTTAGGAAACCCACAAGAGATCACTTAATCAGCAGTTATGTCAAGAAACAGAACCTGACTCAAAGGGGGCCACATGCAAGCCTGTCAGTCACCCCATTCTGCCTGAGGAAACTCCTCTGTGATTCACTGGCTACCAGTTACACGTCTCCATCTTGAGTGTTTTATATGAGGAATCATATGCTTATGTGTTCTGAAATGCCTGACTTTTGCTAAACTGGGATCCATCCAAGTCATATTTTTCTTGTTTCTGTGCTATATACTGTTCAGCTATATGCAGATAGCAGAGTTTATGCCTCTCCGTCTTGGCCGTTTTCAGTCCATTGCTCTTCATGGCGGTGCTCCAAGTGTGCGAGCTAGTGCCTCTGTGTATACTATTCCTGAGGAGATTCAGTGAGTGGAATATCTGGGTGATAGAGGTAATTCATGGCCAATCTCACATGTTTTTAAAAAGCTCCATAGACATTCAGTCCCAGCAAGGACAGTCTTTTGCTCTGACACTGGGATTTAATGATACTTTAGTTTTGCATTTCCCTGAGATGAACTGAACAACGTGTGTGTGTGTGTGTGTGTGTGTGTGTGTGTGTGTGTGTGTGTGTGTGTGACTATTGCCCTTTGTGAAGTGCCTTCTTACTGCCTTTGGAGTGTCTTCTTCTTATTGGTATGCAGCTCTGTACATAAGTTGTGAGACAGATGTATTGCAGTCATCTTATCCACTTTGGAGTTTGCTTTCTTGAACTCTTAATGGTACTACTTTGTGACAAATAAAAATTTCATCCTTCATTATAACTCAGAATTTCTGGCTTTCTTAGCACCTACATGCCTTTAAAATGTTCAGCATCTTCCATGTTCATGAACTTGTGCTGCTAATTTTTGTTTCAAATACTTAAGCTTCCATATCACAATTTAGCTCTGGAATACAGCTGGAGCTAATTTCCTATACATTATAAAATAATAGTAAAAATTCACCTTCTCTGGGAATTTGCAGTTGCTAAAGTAACGTACGCTAAACTGCACATCATACCCTCTTCTGCATTGAAGAACCACTTGTTGAAAATTAAGTTGCCGTTTCTGTGTTGATCAGCTTCTAAACTACTCTGATTCAGTGACGTATTTTCATTATACTGTCTATTCCATGCTGTCTTAATTGCCACAACTTTATATAACTATGCTAACATCTTCCACTTCTGTTTTCTTTCTGTTCAGTTGTCCTGATTACACTGGGCATGGTGGCATGCATACCAGCATCAGAGAGGCTGTGTTAGCCTGGGCTAAACAGAGAGACCCTATCTAAAAGAAGAAACACACACACACACACACACACACACACACACACACACAAACTCTATAAACACATACAAAAACTCTCTCTAACACACACATAAATGCACACAATAACTTTCTCAAACACACACACTATCATTCTCTCTCACACACACATACATGCAGTACATGCAGACACATTAACTCTCTCTTCTCCCTCCCTTTCTCTCTCTCTCTCTCTCTCCCTCTCTCTCTCTCTCTCTTACACACACACACACACACACACACACACACACACACACACCATACAAGTCACAGTGAGTTTAAATAGATCTGAGGTGATTCTGTTATCTTGTTTCTGCTGAACTGCCATCTTCTAATTCATGAACATGGTATACTCTTTGGTTTAATTAGATTCTCTCTCTCTCTCTCTAATATCTGTGAGTGGTGTGGGGCTGTTTCCCTGGTCTAGCCCCCATTGCAGTGCTG